AGGATGATGACTTGGGTTATGTTGACCTGGACCCAAACGACGACGGTGCCCGGATTGATGGTGAGGCAGTTGTGAATCAAAGAGACATAATTATGCTTGAAAAGTTAAATGAAGACGCTGACGCTGACGATGAGGAAGAGCCTCCACCTCCGTCAGACAACGAAGAAGATATGCGGGATAGTGATGATGAGACCGGTCGACAAATAGATTACAATAGTGATGATTCATATGGGTTCTAGAAAATGTATGTTCTTTTAATAATGTTCTCTTCCGTTATTAATGTCTTTCCTGTATGCTTGTTTTTTTATATCCTTACTAATTGTTTATTCTCTTCTCAATGCAGGTTTGCTAATCATGGGCAAGTCCAGCGGTGCCAGTTTCCTCAGTAAACTCAAAGGAGGACTTACTCGGAGTGGACGAGCCCACAAGGTTCCCTCCCGACTACGCGAGGATGGCACCTCACAGGGAGGTGGAGGGGTCGGGGGAGGAGACCCTAGAGGAGGAGGGGGTGGGGGAGAGCCCCTAGAGGACGAGGAGGTGGGGGGAGAGGCAACCGGGCCAAAAAACTTCGGGCCGTGTCTGAAATAGGAGGGTCTTCTTCGATGCCCTCCTATGCTGATGCAGCTTCTGAGTCTGAGGAGGAGGAGTATATTCCTGATGTCGAGGAGGAGGAGGGTGAGGAGGAGGAGGCCGAGGAGGAGGAGGCCGAGGAGGGCGAGGAGGGTGGAGGGGAGGTTGACCCCGAGTTGTGGGGTGACTTGCCACCGGGTGCTCCGCAGGGGTGGCTGCGTGGTAATGTCGGAGTACCTACACCACCTTCAATCGAGGCGCACAAGTGGCTCATTGAACCTGCGGGGACAGAGTAAGTGCATCTCAATCATACTTTCAACACATGACAACATTTTTTTATTGTACACATGGCAACCCTTTGATTCTTTTGCAGTAACTGGATCCTTCACGGAAAGGGCCGTAAACCGAACGGCCTTCTCACTGTCCTGTTGAAGCAGTTTTGGCCTGGCCTATTCTGCCCGCGGCTAGACAGGGACCCACAGCTGCGTGTTTTGGCCACAAGCTGGGCCCACTACGAGGCTTGCAGCAACGCGGAGTACGAGACGGCCGCTAAGGCCATGATCACCAAATTTTGGGTAAGTTCCCTTTTGAATCACTTGTCTTTAGTTTCATTCATAGTTTATCATTGAATCACTCAAATCATGCCTTGTTTGCTTCTGGTTTATGCATGATTGCAGCAACTCTATAGAGTTCTTGATGAGCACAAGGCCAGAGCCGACGTGGTCTTACTTGCGTCTGCAAAGAAGAAAGCTCGTCAGTTGTAGTACGAGGTGCGTTGGGTTGCCGTCTCACAGTACTACCACATCTACCTGCAACAAAAGATGACCAAAACTCAAGCACAGAGGCAAAAAATTACCATGAGCAGGGAGCAGTTCATGATGGTAACTATTACTGACTTTTCATTGTTTCAAGGAGTCAACTATATGTTTCGTGCTCACATGTCATGCTTCCAAAATTTGCATAGGTTGTTCCTCGTTGGTGCTATGGAAGGCATGGCGGATGGGCGTGTTTGGTGGATAGGTGGGTCGGTGACGATCCAAAGTTTGTTGCCAAGAGCATCAAGGCCCGGGCTAACCGTGGAAAAGACGGGACACACGGCCAAGGAAACAGGAACCATTGGGGCTTCAAGGCCATGAAGGTATATCTATATGAAAGATGCATTTTGGTTCTTCTTTACCATCATGTTCTTATGTATGGCTAACTTCTGTTTGACGTTGCAGGAGGACAAGTTGCAGAGGCTGCTCTCAGACATGGAGTCGTGGAAGCTGGCCCGCGAGCGGATTGATCGCAAGAAGGGCGAGAGCCAGTACTACGGCAACACCGAGAAACACCTGGAGTCTTACACTCAGAACTATCAGAAGTTGCATCCGGATGTTCCCGTTCCTGAGGTCGCCCAGTCTCAGATCGACGACACGGCGGTGGTGGCCATCCAGGGTAAGTCCCATGGCCGGTATCCGTGTTTCGATGGCTTGGTCACTCCGTCGATCTCGTACACACGGCTTCGAGCTACCAACCCGAGCCCTTTAGAGAGTACGGGGCGTTCGCAGCCTCCCTTAGTCCGCCAATGTGCTGTAAGTACTTCCCCTTATCTTCTTTGTCTCTATCTTTCTTAGTTTATTTTCATCACTGCTCACTTAGAAACAACCTCAATTTTGTAGGCATATCAGACCTTTCTCGAGCATAGGCATATTGAGGTGAGGGAGTACTTGCAACGAGTGAAGGCAAACGATGATTACAGCCGTCAAGTGATGGCGGTTAGTTTTGCCCTCTTAAACCAAGCTCAAATTTGCACTTTCATTCCTTCTAACTTTGTTGATCACGGCTTGTTTCTAAGTGGACTTGTTTAACTAACATCTAGGCCATGTTGGCGTCTTGGACTAACCGTACGGAGCCACCACAAGTTGGACCCCCACCACCACCTGCGGGAGACGCCCCACACATTCCCACGTTCGAGGAATGGCTGGCACTAGGCGGTGATACTCCGGTTAGTAAATTTGCCTAACTAATGACAAACTAGTTCTCGTTCATTCAACACTATCATGTCATATTTACCGTTAGAATCTTCTTTCAAACATGTAGGGGACCGGTGGCTCGACTCCTGCTCCGTCGACCCCAGTCACTCCGATCTGGCAGAGTGATGGTGGTCGCGGTGGCGGTTTTGGCGGAGGAGGACTTGGCGGTGGCGGTTTTGGCGGAGGTGGACTTGGTGGTGGTTTTGGCGGAGGTGGACTCGGTGGTGGTGGTGGTTTTGGAGGAGGTGGACTCGGTGGTGCTTGATGTCGATAATGATTCCGTGTATGTGGCCGTTGTGCCATGTCTTTCATGTTTCAACTTTTATGATGTTTCATGTCTTGCACTACTCTTATGTTCGTGGACTTTCGCCGGTGATGATCTTTAGATGATGAACTTGACTATGTTTAAATGATGTTGATGAACTGTCATATTTCATATTATTCTGTTTTGAAATGTTGTCAAATGAATTGGAAAAGAGAAAACAGGGAATATAAAAAAAACTATGCCTACGGTAAAGCCGTCGGCATAGATACGCTCAGGAGCCACCAGGAGGCGACACGTGGCAGGGCTATGCCTACGGCCAAGCCGTCGGCATAGATTTATATCTATGCCGACGGCTTTGCCGTAGGCATAGCCATGCCACCAGGTTACACCAGGAGGCGACACGTGGCAGGGCTATGCCTACGGCAAAGTCGTCGGCATAGATTTAACCTATGCCGACGGCTTTGCCGTAGGGATATCTTTGCCACGTGTCGCCTCCTGAGCCGCCAGCAGTTTTGACGGCGCCGTCCGTTGCCGTCAGACGGAAAACTACGCCGACGGCTAAACTATGCCGACGGCTGCGCCAGGGCCGTCGGCATACCCTCCTATGCCGACGGCATTATTATGCCGACGGTCTGACAGGAGTACGCTGACGTAATCTAGACTGGCGGCTCTATGCCGACGGCTGCCGTCGGCATAGATCTATGCCGACGGCCTAGGGGCCTATGCCGACGGCCCGTGGCCGTAGGCATAGACCGCGAGTCCGGTAGTGAGTATCCCCATACTTGCTTAATTAGAATGCATCTTAATGAAAAGGAACATATAGTTTCATGAGATTTTTCTCATAATAATTCAAGGTAATATAATTTGATTATCTATTAGAAATGCATTAGAGAAAAAAGAAATCCATGCTACTTTGTGAGCCTTGCGTGCTAATATGCCCAAATTGGTATTAGCTTCCATTGTCCACCATGATCAATTTTTGAGTGGAAAAGTAACGAAAGGTACACAAAATGTCATGGTTATTAAGTAGGACTACAAATACACTTCATTTTCTACATATTATTCAAGTGACTGCCATCCATCATATCATAGAACAATTAAACTGAGTGACTCATCAGAAAAAAGTCCATACTTGATCCTCTCACCAAGGATTGTCACTAACACAACAATCAAATAGTGGTATTCACAGTTATTCTTATATTTTTAAAGTGAAGCTATAACCTGAGAGAAGATTGTTAAGTATAATTTCCGGGGAGGAGTATGCATGAGAATTGCATTCTCCACTGCAATTGGATATGAAGCTATAACCTGTAAATTGTAATGCATCAGCAAGTTATGGGAATAAAAGGTATACCTTTAGAAATTAAGGGAATACATTATTTGATTGTGGCCTATATTTTTCCATATCTGAAGGGTGTGCGTTGCAGCAGGAATATGCAGGCATAGAAAAGAAATATGTTAAAGACATGAGTGAGATTATGAAACCATGCGACATTTGTAAATTTTTATTAGCTCAGCACGGACGAATTGCATAAAAGAAAAAAGTGAAATAACAATGGCAATAGCAATAATAGTCTCTTTAAGCATTATTGTAAGAAAATAAAGAAGTATAGCAGTTGTTATGCAAAAGCATGAATGATAAGGCCACTGTGTGAACATATTGGAGGTTGTGTCACCGTCACCGTAATATGGTTCGAATATAGCTAATAAAAGCTTCAATTTAAGAAAGGAAAAGTATAACATATCATTATGTAAAACATATGCAAATATGAAAAAATTCTATTTGATTTTGTTTAATATTTGGAGAATTTCTTTTTAAACTTCCTCTTGAAGCCGCCAGTCGATTAACCTGCAACTCATATCCACAACAGTATTTACAAAACCTTCCATTTTGAATGATAAATCCAAAACACGCCTAATCCAGCACAGTGCTAGCTTGCCAGGCTAGATGATGTTCAGATTGGATAGTACTGCTACTGCCGAAACACACATGCCCATCTATTCGGGTATTAGATCGATCTGATGACATTCATCGTGCAATAGTATTGTTCCCTTTTTTTTGCGGGTGCGTGCAATAGTTCTGTCGGGCAGCAATATACCTGAAAATGACCAAAGAGTATATATTTTTTTTTACGAGTAGAAATTTGTATTACTCATCCACCAAAGTCCTTACAATCAATCGCAGCTAGTTCCAAAGCCTCAGGAGGACCAGAACCTAGCCAAGTCATGGTTCTACCCTCACTACGAGCAAATTTAGCTAAGCTATCACTAACTTTATTTTGGCTACGACTTACATGAGTAATACAATTTTCACGTAGAGACATAAGATATCTAATCTCCTTGATGATAGACGAATATACCGATCTGTCAACCTCTGAAGCCTGGATCAATTTCACTGCAATTATAGAATCCATGTCGATCTGCACTGGTAACTCACTTCTCTGGATGGAGAAAGATAAACCTTCCATGCATGCACATAATTCAGCTTCAAGTGCATCCCGGCAAAAAAATAACTGCCTACAGGAAGAGAATATGCCTTAAGAAAAATCAAAGCTAAGCAAAAAAAACAATAAAATTCATACTAAACTACAGGTGTGTGCAAGTATGAGAGAGAGAGATGCAGGATTGAATTTCCTGTAGTAAACAGTATGTTTCACCTTTTTATTCCGTCCAATCAGCGCCTTACATAAAACAAAACGAAGAGAGATGACTACGATCCATCGCTTTAAATCAACGTTGTTCCATCTGTTTATTCCTTCAAACAATAAATAAATAAAATAAAACGAAGAGGGGACAGAGATGGTTGTTTCATGCTTGCCGGGAATGCTTGAATTAGAGAGGATTGTGGATTAGAAAGACTGACCGGACTGTTGCACGGATGAGGCGCAGATCTCGCTTCTAAAAGATGCTTCCTCCACATATAAATCAGAGCTTCAAAGTTCCAATCCAAATAAACCTGAGATCGCTTAGATTTGGGGAGATAGAGAAGGAGAGCACCGACCTTTTGGTGCAGGAGATGTTGGAGGAGGACGACAGCAGTGAGACGTGTGGCTTGCCTGGAACTATGGTCGACACCGGGGCACGAGGATTGGGCCAGCGGTGTTCGCGGGGATTGATTCATCGGCAACAGATTGCGGGCTCAAATCAATTACGGTGATCGGAGGGCCCTGGGTCGGCAGCAACATGCACGTCTTAGGCGGCGCCCCCCCACGAACGCTGGGCTAGCAGCGGCACAGCACCATGACTGCTCAGAGCGAGATGTGTATGGTAGCTTTGCCACGGCTGATGATGAAGGGGGTTATTTGTTTGGGTGAGTGGAACTATATGGAGAATACGAAGAGGAGGGGGCGTCATTGAGAAAATAAAGTGGGAGGATGGTGGAGAAGATGATGCGTCTTCATTCCAGAAAAGTCCATAATTTACGGATGGAAACGGATGACGGATGGTAAGGCCATCTCCACCGCGCGACTCCAAAACGTCCGGGTCTGTCCGTTTGAGATTACACGGATAAATGAGACGACCCAGCGTGCTACCCTATCTGTAAAAAGTGTCCGTTTCTGGTCCGTCTCACCCCATCCCGGAAGCAAAGTTGGGCTGGATTTGCGTCTGAAACGGACCCGAGCGGACGCTCTTTGTCTCCTCCTCGTCCGGGCGTGTCCTTTTGCATGTGACCCTGGCCCGCCTGTCATTGGCACAAAAGTGGCCCACACACCCACCCACCCACCCCTCTCTCTCCTCCTTTTTCTTTCCCTGGCCCACCACGCACACACACCACCACGAGGCACCCGCGGGCGACGAGGAGCACACGGCGCGGTGGCACTCCCGCCGGCCGGCCTCGCCTTGCCGTCGTTGAGGTCCTGCCGCCGCAGGAGAGGAGTGCGCCGGCGCGCGCGGCAAGCTTGGGGCGCG